TTTGATAGTTTAACACTGTTAAACTATTTACTAAGTCTGCACTACTATTAATCTTCTCATCGTTCCTATCACCCATCTCCTCCCATTTATGACTGTATGGCTGTAACTTTGTTGCTTGTATTCTTAGAATTTATATTGTTTCCTAGTATGATTTGATTGCTTATTTGCACCCTATGACTATCATTAAGTGTTGTACCTTATGATTCTTGACGAATATATCTTTTCTTTTATGTACACTGAGAGCATATGCACCAAGACAAATTCCTTGTGTGTCCAATCACACTTGGTCAATAAAGAATTCTATTCTATTCTAAACAGTTTTAAATTGAAGTTGTACCAAGCTTTATCTAAGTTACTTACTTTGAATTTTGATTTTGTTTCAGAGCTGCAATGCATTTCCCAAGAATAAGAAGAGAATTATTAATATTGCCAGCTTCTTTCAGTCTGTCTCCAAAGGTTTGAGCTTTATGGCATCTTTCTGAACCAGCCAAGTCACAGAAGGAAAGTCTGTACAAATGAAGATATCCATCTGATTTTTTAAAATCTTACACTAGTTGAAGTGAATGAAAGCAACTGTTTTCATTAAGATAACTGTAATTATGAAAATGAGCTCACTCTGAACTATTATACTACAATTCTGTAACAAACAAATATATGGACATAGTGATTAATGGCCTTATTACTACTTATTGGGAACTACTGCAATGCAATCTATATGAAATTGCCTTCGAAGACCATCCAGAAACTGCATTGGAGTTTAAAAGCAGCACTCTGGTCATCGGTAGGTGCCTGCTACTATCAGCTTCTAAAAGCTGTACTGAGAGTCTTGCATTGGCTGCCAGTAAGCTCTTTAAGCACAATCAAAAGTGATGATTTTAATCTTTTAAGGCTTTGTAACACTTATATTTAAATACCAGCAAGAGGGCCTTTTCCAACTAGATGCAAACTGTCAGATACATTTTTCCTGAGAAAAACTACTGGTATCATTATATTTTGATGAGGTGAGGGTGGCTGAGGCCAGGATTCCCCCCCCCCTCTTTTGGCCCTATACTTTGAACCTATCTTTGTTTGAAAGTGAGGCCAATTTGAAAGTAAGGCCAATTCTTTCTTTGATTGCTTTGCAGAATTTACTTAAAACAAAGCTCTTCTGATGGGAAGTTTGGGGCTAATGGGATATTCTCAAATATTTCTATGATATATATGCTTTTTTGGTTGTTGTATATTTTTAAATATTGTAAATTATTCACCATAGATGTTTTAATTATACATCTTGCATGGTTTTACTGTTGTTAGCTGCTGTAAGTCTTGGAAGTTTGACATCATACCAACACATTCAATCAATTAATCTGAATTACTGTACTCTATCATTAGTGAAGTGGCACTTACTCAGAGATTCCAAGAGTATGTGGCACATCTTCATCACTCAAACTGAGGAGTCGAATAGAAAATATACTATGACTAGGAAAAAAATCCCAGAAATGTTATGTTCTAATCTTTGTTGAACATTTTAATATTTCACTGTGGCATATGAATAGCATAACTATTATCAGTTTGAAAAAGCATTTGAGTAAACTAGTAAACTGTTCTAATAAACTAGTGGCTTGTCCTAGTAGACAGTCACTTAAATATGAGCCAATAATTTGCTGCAGCTGCCAAAAAAGCCAACACAGTCCTAGGCTGAATTAAGAGAGGGATATAATCATGATCATGTGAACTGTTGATACCATTTTGTAACATTTCACAATGCTAGAAGAAAACTGAAATCTGCCAACAAATGTGGGTGGAAGAATTTCTTTTCTTTTCTTTTGCAGTTCTATTGTGTAAGCTGTAGTCAGTCTTGTGTAAATACTTCCTTTATTCCTTTTCCATCATACCATTTATTATACTTTGCATTCTTATGTCATTAGCTCAAGAAGGAAGAGTAAAATTAAATTAAAGGAAGCAAACCTTCGACTGGATTGCTGGTTCATCTTGGTGCTTGCCAAGCTTCTATTCTTATTTCCTATTTTAAGTATTTTACAAGCCTCTTCTGAATCTGATATATTGACCCATTTTAAATCTGGGAAAGAATATAACATTAGCATACATTAAAAATGAAACTATAGCTCTGTTTATTCACTGTGCAGATATAACAACTTGTTGCTTCTTTGCAGTGCATTCCTGTATATGACTATTCAGAAAGTATTCCTGCTGAGTTCAAACTAACCCTGCTTTTGAACATGATGGATAAGAAAATGGACACACGTTTCTTTCTTGTGCCCAGAAAACAATTCTCAGGGCCTTAAACAGAATAAAAAGATGACACAAGATGAATAAAAGAGAATAAAGTGATAACCTAAGAAAGTGTTTCGACTTCTCACGAAGTCTTGACTCAAGACCAGTATAAAAGGCACCTTTTATTGCCCAGAGTTGTCCCACTGTTTTTGAGCTGAAATTTCACCCTAATTTTTGTGACATAGATTTCTATTTATAAAATAATATTTGAATTCTGGCTTGAGTTACATATAACTAACAAGAAGCCTACATTTTCAATAACACTGATGTTAAGATTAAAAATATATAACCTTGTTTTATAGGTTATAGAACAACCAATTTACTATGCACTCTTGCCCAAGTTGTAACTTGGAAACCAACAGAAGTTAATACAGGTATCATCTTCTATTATGAAAAAGGATTTTCATTAAATAAGAGACTTAAACTAAGTTACTTGCTTTTGAAAAAATAACAAACTTTATATGAAACTAAGCATTTGTTTACTGCAATAAGCATTTTCTGAATTGCCTATGAGGAGAAATAGATTCCATCTGTTATCGCAAAAATTGTTTATGCATTTAGTGCTGGACAATGTCCCAAGAACCAACAACAGGGCTACCAAAATAATCACTGAATCTTAGTTCCAGTAATTGTCTACCTAAATGTGTAAGAACAAAGTGGCAGTGTTACCTTTAATGTAAAAGTTTCCTCCTTGATCCTCACAGATTCTTAAAACTTTGCGCTTCTGATTTTTCAAGACTGGTAGTAAGTCCAGCAAGTCATAAATATATTCATTATAAATTTCAAAGAAGGAAACCCAAAGTGATGCCAAGGTTTTCTGACCAATGTTATAAGCTTCTGATTTTACAAATTCAGGCTTGTCATCTGTTTACAAAAATGGCATTTTATTCATATATACAGATACATTATTATCCTTGTTAAATGCTAGTATTAAAATCCTAATTTCATGCCTAACGATGCTTCAGAATCTTGGCTTTGAAGAACTGGTGGAAAAGAGACAGCTTTGTTTTGACATATTCCATATTATTACACAAAATTTCTACATGTTATATCTCTTTCTCTACTGGGCATTTCACTTTTTCACATTATCCTAACAAGATGTATGTGTGTGAGAGAGAGGGGAGGAGGGAGGGGGCTGAAAGGAAGGAAGGAAGGAAGAAAGAAAGAAAGAAAGAAAGAAAGAAAGAAAGAATGAATATTCATTATTTACTTTACCTAACTGGTCCAAAGGAAGGTTTGGTGAGTTACAGCTACATGACGTTGAATCTGAAGGTTTCCAAATATTTTCAGTTTCCTTAAAAAATATTATATAGATTAATTATATTTTATTCTTAAGTAATTTGAATTTGTTTTTTTAATTAAAATGCCCAACACATTCTATCATTTTTTTAAAAAAA